TATCCACCAACCTATCCATCCATCCACTCACCTATCCATCCACCCACCCATCCATCCATCAACCCATCCATCCATCCATCCATCCATCCACCCACTCACCCATCCATCCACTCATCCATCCATCCATCCATCCACTCACCCATCCATCCATCCACTCACCCATCCATCCATCCACCCATCCATCCATCCACCCACCCACCCATCCATCATCCATCCACCCATCCACCCATCCACCCACCCATCCATCCACCCACCCATCCACCATCCATCCACCCATCCATCCATCCACCCATCCACCCATCCACCCACCCACCCATACACCATCCATCCACCCATCCATCCATCCATCCACCCATCCATCCATCCATCCACCCATCCACCCATGATGGTTATTGTTGTCAATAATACCACATAGAAGACACCCTCTGGGCACACCTGTGACAGAGTTTCTAGATGAGGTTAGCTGAGGTGGGAAGGCCCACCACTGTGGGTGTCACCATTTCATGGGTTGGAATCTCGGACTCTGTAGAACAAGAAAGTGAGCTGAGCACAGGTTTTCATTGCTTTCTGCTTCCTGATTGCAGATCCAATGCGACCAGCTGCTTCTGGTTCTAGCTCCCTTGACTCCCTACTGTTCTGGGCTGCACCTTGAACTGTAAGTCATATTACACATTTCCTTCCTAAAGCTGCTTTTGTCAGGGCATTTTATCACACAACAGAAAGGTAACTGAGATACCATCTATCACCTATCTCCATCGGTCTGTCTGTACCTCTATCTGTCTGTCATCTATCTACCTCTCATCTTCAACGAAAATCTTGTTTGTAGAATTTGGGGAAGTCTTGCATGTCCTGTCTGCAGGTGGAAATCAGGGAAGTCAGCGGCCTGAGATGCAGGAGGGCTAGTGATGTGACTCTTATCTGAGGGCAGAAGAGATCTAGTGTCCAGCCTCAGTGGTAAAGCTGGAAGAAGGAGGTAAATTCCTCTTTCCTCCACTTAAAAAATATATTTTATTTATTATTTTTATTTTATGTGTATGAGTGTGTTGCCTGCATGTAAGTGCACCCGTGTTGTGAAATGCCCAAGGAGTTCAGAAGAGGGGATCGGATCCCCTAGAACTGGAGTTACAGATAGTTGTTAGCTGCCATGTGGGTGCTGGGAATCGAACCTGGGTCCTCTGCAAGAGCAGCCAGTGCTCTTAGCCGCTATCTCTCCAGTTCCATTTCCTCCACCTTTTGTTCTACTCTGGAGCTAGGGTCCTGGGCGGACTGCCTACATTATTGTACCTACCTTTCTGCTTCCCCGGCCGACTGCACCTAGCACCCTCAGGGATGCCCACACAGAGCCAGTGTTTGATTTGGGCACCTATGGCCAGTCAAGTTGACCCATCAAAGTCACTGTCACTCTGTGCTAAACTCTTGGTGTCTGTCTGGCGTGGGCTGGTGTCTTCCTTCATCATGATGCTGTGCCACCAGGTCGGTGGCCTCTGGAGCCATAGTGGTGAGGAAGAGGAGGACCAAGGGCAGGTGAGGCCTGGACATGATTGTGGGTCATTCCTGCCTGCCCTGGCCCAGCGTGTGATGGTTAATCTTGACTATGAACAGGATCTGAACCACTAGGAGACACACTTCTGATCATTCTTATGAGGGTGTGTAAGAAAAAATGACCCTCACTTCGTAATAAGAGCACTGGAGACTCAGGGTAGCAGAAGCAAAACAGTTTATCTTAATACTTGGCAAAGTTGAGGCATCTGCCTAGAATGGCAGGTGTGCTGAATGTGGGGCGGTTAGTTCATAACCGGCCTGTGACCTAATGATGACCCTCCTCCCTCTTTAAAAAATAGTCAGGAAGGTACAATCTTTAAAACTTTTGATTTTATGTATTTTTTATTTTATTATTTTTATTTCATATGTGTGCATGTATTGTCTGCACGTAGGTAAGTGCACCTATGTCGTGCAATGCCTGAGGTTTATATTATATGAATGTTTTCTTTCTCCCCTCCCTCCCTCCTTCCTTCCTTCCTTCCTTCCTTCCTTCCTTCCTTCCTAGGTCTCCCTGTAGCCCTAGCTGGCCTGGAACTCACTATGTAGACCAGACTGGCCTGGGTCTCACAGAGATTCACTTACCTTTGCCTCCCAAGTTCTCGGTTTAAAGGTGTGTACCACCACACCCAGCTATGAATGAGTGTTTTTGTGTGCATGTATGTAAGTGCACCATGTGTGTTCAGTGCCCACAGAGGCCAGAAGAGGGTATTGGATTCCCTGGAACAGGGTTAAGGATGGTTGTGAGCTGCCATGTGGGTGCTAGGAACCGAACCTCAGCCCTCTGCGTGAGCAGCCAGTGCTGAGCTGAGCTGCTCCAGGAAGTCGTTAGATGCATGACCCTGCAGCAAGCTTGGCTGTGATTTTCTACTCAACTTCTAGTTTGAAGAGGGGGTGTCTTAGCAGAGTTTGGGGGACCTGCTAAACTAGCAGCATCAGCAAGAGTCTAGAGAACCTAAGGCTGTCTCAAGGCACTTTTAAAAATGAATCATTAGATTTTATTTCTGGCAGATGTTTCCAAAGAGGTTTAATGGCAGGGGGACAACCTGCTCTCAGGGCGAGCGTCACCTTCCAACAGGTGCCCCCGCCCCAGCGTTGATTGCCTGCCTCTGCTTCTTCCTGGGCGCACACAGCCATCCCTAACTGCCAGCTGACCCCTGGTGACCTTGATAGACACTACATGCTGGCCTTGGGCTGTGGGGACCAGTGACCTCATCCAGGAGGCCCCTCCCTCTCACCTGCTCTGACCCCCAGAGACAGGGAAACAGGAAGGAGGGAACAGGAAGGAGTGTAGTATAGAAGGTGGCCTCCCAGGACATGGCACCCAGACCCAGGAGCTTCAGCTGCGGCAGGGGAAAAGATTTGAGGGTGAGTGGGGGAGGAAATTGGAGGAAACCTTAACAGACCAAGGAGGCGTGCCTGGAGTGCAGTTTGGTTGGATCTGGCCTTGAGCATGTGAGCAGCGGAGAGCCATCTGGGGACGTGGGAACACCGAATCTAGGTTATGTTTTCAGTGTGTTGAGGGAGTTACTATGCACAGAGCAGACATGGTGGTGATGGATTGTGGCCCTGTGGGAGCCCCCTCCATATTTGGAGGTGAAGGCAGAATGGGATAAATGCTTATCTGCATGTGCTTGGAGTATCATGCTAACCCGTCACTTAATTATAAACATTTCACTGTGATCACTTTTAGAAACACACACACACACACACACACACACACACACACACACACAACTCATTTGGAGGGCGTGGTGCCTGTGACAGTGGGCTAATAAGTACCAACTCTGCACATCAGGCCCAGGCCAGTTTCTAGGTCTTGGTCTTGAGGACAAACTGCTTCTTTCCTAGCAGCTGGCATCTCTGCTCTTAGGCTCCTGCTGACTGGACAGCACAGCTTATCAGGACAGAGGGCGTGGGATGGTCCATGGTGCCCACTAGGAACAGAAACACAGGTGCTGCTGGGCAGCTAGCTTGTCCTTTGTACTGAGCCTGGGACTCCAGCCCACGGGACGGCATGTTCACATTCAGGACATGTCTTTCCTCCTCAGTTAAAGCATACTGGAAATATCTTCAAATGCACATGCAAAGTTGTACCTCATTAATGCTCCAGGTGGTTTGTTTATTCTTGAGGGAGCCTGACTTGTTACGTGGTGCTGGTACTCAAACCCCAGTCCTTATGATTGCAGAGCAAAAGCTGTTACCTGCTGGACTTTCTGTAGTAACCCCGTCCCCAGTGTTTTTGAAAAAGATTTATTTTTGTTTTATGTATATGAGTATTTGCCTGCAGGTATGTAGCACACCTGTGTCATGTGTGCAATACCCATGGAGCCAGAATATGGCATTGGATCCTTTTGAACTGGAGTTCACGTGGTTACGAGCTGCTCTGTGGGTCCTGGGAACTGAACCCAGGTCCTCTGCAAAAGCAGGAATTGCTCTTAAGTAACTGCTAAGCAATCCCTCCAACCCCCTCAAGTGTTTTTTAATCCAACCAAGTTGAGAGTCAAAATTACCTATCCCACCCTGCCAAGGTGTCACAGAATGAGCTGTCATAATATATGTGCGTTCACTGCGTCCCTTCTGCCGCTGCTCTGTAAAAGGGTAAAACAGACTAAATTCCCCCATTCCGCAGAAGTTACTCTAAGGAGACTGTAAATAAGTCACACATTAGAAGACCACATTTACCCCATGTATGAGCGACACATGATCTCTACCGTAATGCGCTAGAGCTCTTCCAAAAACCAGCCAGACAGGGCACATTATCACATCCTACAATCTGTGACAGACCCGGAAGCAAGCATTTTGTAAAATGGAAACAGGCATGAGCAGTATTCGGCAGACCTCATTAACAGGCAGAGAAATGGGAGTTCAAAACCAGAAAGCAGTACTGTGTAACACCTACCAGATTGGCACAGATTTTAAAAGTTCAAGCAAGGGCAGGTATCAGCCAGTGCACGCACTCACAGGTGGCTGCTGAGTGCTTGGTTTGGAACCGGCATGTGGGAAACAATTTGGGAATGCCCTCTGAAGTGCATTACACCTGCCAGTGGCTCAGCCGTCCTCCTGTCCTCCTCCTTTACCCTGGAGGGGGATTTCTCACCAAGATTTCCGAGATGCCCTGAAGTCTTTTTCCTGATGTAAAGCCTCTGGCTTCCTTTGATCTGTGTCAATATCTTTGGATTGGTTTCTGAGCTGTGCTACACCCTGTCCTTTGTTCTTGATCTTCCCTGGCCAGGCTAAGGATTTTTCAGATCCTTGGGCTCTGGGTCCCTTTGCTCCTGAGCCTGTCAATACGATGGAAAACACTCACCCAGATTGCTCTGGTTTCATTTCTGTTCCCGTGATAAATTCCTGATCAAAACAGCTTAGGGAAGAAAGAGGTTTATTTGGCTGAGGATTCCAAGTTACAATCTGTCATTTTAGGGAACTCAGGGCGGGAACTCAAGCAGGTAATTACATCACATCCACAGTCACGCAGGCTTGCTTCTTTCTGATAGCTTCTTAATACTGTCCTGGACCCCCTGCCTAGGGAATGGTGCTACCCACGATGGCCCGATCTTTCTACATCAAATAGCAATAAAGACAATCTACCACAGATGTGCCCACAGGCCAACCAGATCTAGATAATTCCTCATCAAGATTTTCCTCCCAGGAGATTCTAGGTTATGTCAAGTTAACAGAACTAACCAGCACAGAGTTGGAGAGATGGCTCTGAGGTTAAGAATGCTTGCTGCTCTTGCAGAGGACCTGGGTTTGGTTCCTAGCACCCACCCACATCAGGCTCACAATCGCCTGTAACTTCAGCCAGGGAAGTTACGTCCTCTTTTGACTTCTGCAGACACCTGTACACATGTGGCATATCCACATTAATAAAAATAGTTAATCTATGGGTCTGGAGAGTTGGCTCAGCGGTTAAGAGCACTGACTGCTCTTGCAGAGGACTGGGTTTGATTCCCAGCACCCACACGGTGGCTACGAACCGTCCTTAACTCCAGTTCCAGGGGGATCCGAAGCCCTCTTCTGACCTCCGCGGCATTGCAAGAC